ATGACTTCCACTCATCCAGATCTCGCATTCCCTCTCAGCATCCTGGCTCGCTTTGTGGCGATAGGCAGACACCGACCGCAGCACTGGTCGGCCGCTAAGAGGGATTTGTGTTATCTAGCGAGTAGATTGGGCATTGGGCTAGTGCTGGGAGGACACAGGCCAGTGGTCCTTACAAGGCACACAGACCCTTCGTGGGCAGACGACGCTGAGACTCTTAGGTCGTCCCAAGGCTACTGCTTTCGCCTTGGTGCTGGCGCAATCTCGTGGAGGTCCACCCTCTCGTCGTCTGTTGCCCAGTCCAGTTGTGGGACTGAGATCTACGCTGGGGCCATGGCAACACAGGAGCACCGCTGGGTGACCTTCTTGCTCACAGCCTTAGGTGAGCGGCCTAGGTTTTCCCCGGTCCTGTACGCTAACAACAGGGCCATGATACTCTTGTGTCAGGAGACTCAAATAGAGGGCAACGTGAAGCACATCCAGCTGCAGTACTTCCTCCTGCGCCAGCTACAGCAGCGCCGCCAGGCCCGCGTAGTACACTTGGCCTCAGATGCCAACACTTCTGATATCTTTACTAAGGCGCTTGCACCTAATGATCGCCAGCGGCACTGTGTACAGCTTGGTCTAGTACTAGTAGCTCCTCACTTGCTAGGACCCTGATTGTGTACTCCTTATATTATCTGGATTGGCCTTGTGGCTCTTGTAACAGTGGCTGGACTAGTAGTGCCGCCCTGGGTTACTCTTGTTTAGCGTGTGCTCTTGCTGACTGGTCTTTAGACCCTTGCCTCAGAGGTTGAACTAGTAGTGCCGCCCTGAGCTGCGTGTCTCTTGCTAGGCACTGCCCCTTGTCTCAGCAAGAGACATGCAACTCAGGGCGGCACTACTAGTCCAACGTCTGAGGCAAGGGTCTGAAGACCAATCAGCAAGAGTACAAACTAATTAAGAGTAACCTAGGGTGGCACTACTAGTCCAGCCACTAAAACAAGAGCCACAGGGCCAGTCAATATAATCTAAATAGTAGTACACGATCAGGGTCCTAGCAAGTGAGGAGCTACTGGAACTAGACCAAGCTGTACACATTGCCACTGATTATCTTTAGATGCAAGCGCCTTAGTAAAGATATCAGATGTGTTGGCATCGAATGCTAAGTGTACTATGCGGGCTTGAGGAAGGGTCGACAAGAGTGACGGTGGCAGGGGCGGCAAGCGGCGTGAGCGTAGTGTGGTCGTTAATGAAACAGGCGGACGCACCAGAGTCCAACATGAAAGAGAGAGCGGAGGTAGTGTCAGCCGGAGGAGGGACTAGGGCAGGCTAGGGCGGAAGCGCGGGTGGGGAGACCATATCTAGCTCTGATACCATCTCAGAATAGAGAATTGAAGTAGGCAAGGGCATGCAAGGTGTTCTTATGCTTGTGTTTTGTGCTCTCTAAGAGTATGCACCTATCTAGCCTATAAATACAAATGTATAAAAGTTGACATTATCATGAGCACTACCTGGGAATCCAATTAAATACATGTCAGTTGCAGCCGAACGGCGTATTGGCTTCTACGACAGTACTAATCGGATCTCTTAGCATCTATGCTGCATATCTGTAATTGTGTCCCGTCTATCGCCCCGATTGTGCACGATATTCCTTTCACCACCTTGGATTCCTCGGCCATGCGTGCCATATCAATACGTGTCTGGAAACGTACTCACTTGGCTTTGAATGTGCGTGAGAAATTGAGGACAAATAGGTCAACAAAATGGTGGCAAAGCGTTTTTGTCACCCCGAACCATGTCGCCATGTCTAGGAAACTCATTGCAATTGCAAAATATTTCATTGGTATGAAGACGGCGACGTGTGGGGGGATTAGGTGGCGCGTAACGTGCGATAGGAACATGTATGTCATGATGATCACAATGTGGTCAAGGATCTCGCGGTTGATTCAGAGAAGATTTTGGAACTTGTGGTCCCTGAGGTCGTCCACGTCTTCCATCCATAGCTCCAACATCCGATGTCTGCAGAGGCGACGAGCTTTCCAAATCTTGGCGCAAAAGCGACCGTTAATTGCGGCCGGCCCTTCGTCAGCTTGCCCCTCTACATGTGTTAGACAAGCACGCACGGCCATGTTCATCTATGTTGTGTAATACCAGCCGAAAAAAACGACGAGGAGGTGCGCAATGAATTCGAGCTCTGTCGGGCGGTATGCTGCTCGGAAATCTAGGACTGCGTGTGTTTGGCTGAATCTACAAGGGCGACATGTGGAGTGGCAAACTGCCCTGTCCTATTTGTATGCTGTGCTGCACACACTCTGCAGATGGGAATGTATGAGGGTGATGGTTTCGGATTCGCGGAGTCGCAAGAAATTTCGAAAGTGTTGATGGAACTGTTGGAAAGTGTTGGCTGGAAAACAGCATTGGGTGTCTCATTGCGTCGCGGGGCTTGACAACATGGCATCCTTTGGCGATTAGGCCGAACAGCCTTGATATGCAGTTCTGCAAAACGTCAGGGCTCATGCACCAGTCTTAAGGAGCTTTTCGTGATATCTGTAATGTAGGAATATGCCTCTAAGTAGCACGTTAGCTCCAATAGAGTACGCACACATCTACTTCACCGCGCTACCTCATATAGAGGACGCTAGCGGGTGGCAACAGCCACTCGAGTCAACGTTTGAACAGTTCAGCTAGAGGTTGCAACTAGAAGTTGCAACACTGAGGTTACAGAAAGATGTTTCGCCATAGGTTTTTTTTTTTAGGTTACTTCAAAATTGGCACCTCTCGGGTATTTATGCATGTTGCACTAATCATCGTATTATCCTTATCTAATAATATGTTCTTACCGTATAGGAAATACAAGTCTTCCACTGACTTCAACTGTCCCGAGCTCCACGGAATCATGGTCTTTGGGTAATTCTCTAATATGGGGATATTACTTCTACATCTGGTTTGCGGAGCATCCTATTGCAATCGATCGGCCAAAAATTTCTTTTCAAGTTTTTATTCTGTTGTAATTTTAGGAATGAAATTAAAATAATCACCTATTGAACTAATACTATTTACACATAAAATTCCAAATTGCTAGCATCTTCTATCTAATATATATATAATTACACCATAAGATTCGCGCAAATATATGATGGGAAAAATAGAATCAACATGTTCTTGTTTTCCATCAATTCATGTGGCGTATTTTTTACTATGACAAAAATAGGCTATCGCTTGCCCAACTCTAGTCGGGGGGAGGGGGGGTTCCATTCAAATGACCTAAAAGAAATAAGTGTAAATCAGATTTTGGAATTCACAAAATCCATTACTTATAATATATTATTGATAACCTATGCTCCTTATTTCCTTCCAACTACTCATCTGCATGATTCTTCTATCGATATTTCTCCTCGGCTTATTACCTTCCAATTGCTCGACAGTAGACTACTTTTAAAGATATTCCTCCTCTTATTTCCTCCCAACTGCTCAGCAATAGACTACTTCCACCGATACTCCTCATCGTATGTCCTTCTAATTGCTCAGCAACAGACTACTCTCGCCGATATTACTCCACCTCATATTTCCTTCTAGTTGCTCAGCAGCAGACTACTTCCGCCGACATTCCTCCTCTTATTCCCTTCCATCTGCTTAGCAACTGACTCTCTCCACCATTACTCCTCCTCCTCATGGCCTTCTCTCTTGCCCTCCCATCTCTTCTTTTGTTGGTCCTTCAGCTTGCGCCTGACGGTAGTGTGCTCAACTTTCCTTGTTGGCAGAATTATCTCGATCGCACACTATCTAGCACCCTTGTGAATGAACTCAACCTTGGGTTGGTCACTCATCAAAAGGGCATTGGTGCCCAGCCCACTCCATTCTCCTCTAACACCCCTCCCTTTGATCCTTATACTGCTTGCCTCGAGGAGGCTGCCAATGAGGGCGAGCGGATGGCCACTACAGCTCAGGCCAATGCGGAAGCTGACCTTACCAACGTCAATGCTCGTGACCTCGCTCGAGTCCTTGCCTTTGCTGTGGACTCTGCCTGCAAGTGCCTCTTTGATTACCTAGCACTCCTCGTCCTTCCTCCTCCGCCTCCACCCCGCACCCCCCTCCTTCGTCGAGACCTTTGCAACATGGCATGTTGCCAATGCACGGGCATGCCAAGTCATCCTCGCTTGCCTCCCAATGCTAACCTCCCCTAGTGCTTGTTGTGTGATGTCATCATATGCTATCACATTCTGTCTGCCTCCCATCCCATATTTTTCAACTTGCATGTGTGATTTGAACGTGTGCAAGAATTTGTGTGTGATGTGTTCTGGAGTTTGGGAATGTGTTTTGTGTTATTTTGTTTGAGCAGGTTTTTTGTGATGATAGATCTTGAGAAGATCTTTCCGATGCAACGAGAATCCCTTCAATCGGAGCAAGAACGCGAAAGCTATGAAGATTCAAAGTTCATGAGCTTGCGTTACAATTGCGGCGGTTACAAAGTGAAGTTGTGGGGTGACTCTATATGGAGTTGGGACCTTTGGGGGTTGGGGAAATTTGTCACTCACTGTAACAGCTGCAAATTGGTTGGGAACAACCAAGCTAGGTTGGCAAGGGTGGCCAACTTGGATGGATTGGTTGGGAAGGGACAAATGTCAAAGTTGGGGTTCCTATAGGGAGGGAATCTTTGTGCTTATGGGGTTTCCTTGGTTGGGGACTCTCTTGGGACCTTCCCTCTCATCCCTCTCTTCTATCCCAACCTTTCTCTTGCTCTTCTAATTCCTTGTGAGATTCTTGAACTTTGATTGAACCTTTGAGATTGAGTTAAGTTCTCCTCCTACAGCTTACCCCCTAATGCGTCGAAAGCCATAGCGTCGCGAATACTTCATCAATCAACGTGATTCAAATTGGGAACGGTAGCTGAGATTAAGCGCTACAACATGTCCAAGTTTCGCGACATTCCAACGGCTAGTTTGTTGTCGACGTTGTTTCTTGTGAAGACAACTTTTCTGTCCAGAATTTCGGATTTATATTTTGAGTAATTCTAGTTCCTAAGTTCACCTAGACTCCGTCCTTAATTCTAACAAGTGGTATCAGAGCAATATTAAGGACATTGAGAGGAGTCTACAGAAGTGTGAAGACCCTTCTAGACCCACCATGGCCTGTGGGTGTGCCTAAGTGGTGTTCTAAATGTTGGATGTGTCTTCCGCTAAGGGAAACTCTGCCGAAATTTCGTGGACGCCGATACTTGTGAAAATATCGAGGGAGCTGAGTGTGGACAGCAAAGGGGGGCTGAGATTCGTCATTTCTCAAGGAGAAGATGAATGAGAGAGGAGGAGATGCTAATGGAAGAGGAGCTGTAGCTGAGAAGACAAGTGAGCCGTCGCCATCAAAAGTTGAAGCTTTGGATGGCTCCAACTATGAGGAATGGAGCGGACGGATGAAGAGTGCCTTCAAACGCTACAAGCTACTGAAGATTGCTGTTGGGGAAGAGAAGATGCCGGAAGAAGGCGAAGCACGCGAACGGTGGATTGAGAAAAGCTCGGTGCTTTTCGACCTCATCCTTCAATCGGTCAACAAGGAGATGTTCGAGCACATCAAGGATCTTGTGGAAGCGGATGATTCGGGTCCAAGGGCGTGGAAACTACTACGCGATGTGATTCAGCCCAACACTCTCCTGATGGTGATCGTGCTCGAGAAGGAACTTGCTGCCATCTCCATGCGACCAGGGGACGATGTGAAGCCGGTCCTTGACAAGATCAAGGACACCTATGCAAGGATGGCAGCAGCGGGCAGCAGTGTATCTCAGCTGCAGCAGTGCACCAAGATCATCTCAGTGTTGGACAACTCTTGGGACAACCTCATCCCCACCCTCAACTCTCAGCAAGATCAATGGACACCTGAGTGGCTAAGGCAGCAGATTCTGCAGGAGGACTTCCGCAGACGCCATGTGGGAGGCGGTGCTGCCACTAAGACTGCTGAGGGGTATGGAGCTGCAGGGCGCGGCAGAGGAAGAGGGGGTTGGAGAGACCGAGGCCGTGGGAGAAGCTTTGGCAGAGGTAGAGGCCGAGGTGACTATAACGAGGGGCATGGGAGCTCCAGTGGTAGGGGGAGTACCAGAATGGAGGGCACCTGCTGGTACTGCAAGAAGGTCGGGCATCCTTGGTTCAAGTGCTTTAGCAGGCCGGAGGGATGGGCACCTCCAGGCATGAAGCCGCCAAGTGGTGAACGCGCACAAGGTGGCGCTGTGCAAGGCTCAGGTGCACAAGGTGAAGGTGCACAAGGTAACGCCTATCCTGGGATGTATCTCATGGTTGAGGATGTGCATGGGCATGAGGGTGATGTGGGATCTGTGGGAAAGGTTGTGATGCACCCTCTCACGCACTGGGTGATTGATTCAGGTTGCACCAGTCACATGACTCCACGGGCAGATTTGCTTGATGAGGTAAAACCCCCTGGGAAGATTAAGTATGTGGCAGCAGCGTCAGGTGCTTTGCTCCCTGTGATTGGTGTTGGAAATGCCAAGGTTAAGGGAGCTAATAGGGAGCTTGTGGGGCTTGGGAATGTTTTGTTGGTTAAAGGCTTGTCTCCTAACCTTCTCTCTGTGCGGCGACTGCAGAAGAGTAAGGCCGAAGTGACCTTTGGACCAACGAGCTGCCGTGCTAAGCTTGGGAAGAAGGTGCTGTGGAGTCTGGAAGAGGAGACCAGCTGCATCAAGGACCTGTGGCAGCTGCCCATCATCCCTTGGAATGGGAAGACTCCAACAGCAGCAACGGCAGCAGCGGCAAAGGCAACAGCAGGAGGAGATGCAACTGCACCAACTGATGGGGTCCTGGAAGCAGTCAAGAAAGTGCAGCAGCAGCAGACACATGGTGAGGTGCTTGCTGGTGTGGATGCGAGTGCAGCATGGGCTAAGGCTTCATCAAGGAGTGGAGAGGCCGATTGGGAGACATGGCATGAGAGGTTGTGTCATGTGAACTTCCCTATGCTGCAAAAGTTGGTGAAGAATGGGAGCCTGAAGGGCTTGGAGGTGAAAGGGGAAGTGAAAGAGATTGGGAGCTGCCCTACATGCTTGGAGACCAAGTTCTCCAAGTTCCCCTTCAACAGTGCAACAGGACCAGCCAAGACCCCACTTGCACTTGTGCACATGGATGTGGTGGGGCCCACAAGAGCCCCTTCCCTCTCAGGCAGCCGCTATTTCTTGACAATTGTGGATGACCACACTCGGGCAGTGTGGGTTTACCCTTTGAAGAGCAAGGGGGAGGTGGCAGCAGCTGTCCTTAAGGAGTGGATGCCTAGAGCTCAGAGGGAATGCGGACACAAGGTGAAGGTGATCCGCAGTGACAATGGTGGGGAGTTCATTGGAGCTGATTTTGAGGGGGAGTTGAAGAGGAAGGGGATCCAGCATCAACTGACAGTGCCCTACAATCCGCAGCAGAATGGCGTGGCTGAGAGGTTCAACAGTACCCTGCAGGAGGGGGCACGCACTCTCCTTGGGCGTGCAGGGCTGCCTGATCCGTTTTGGGTGTGTGCACTGAGGCAGGTCGCCCTTGTGAAGAATAGGGTGCTGGCTACAGTTGGGGATAAGGAGTGGATCCCATATACCAAGTGGTATGGGAGTGCTCCAGCTGTGAATATGCTGAGGGCATTTGGGTGCATGGTAGTGTTTCATGTGCCTAAGGAGAAAAGAGGGAAGTTGGAGGCTTCTGGAAGATGGGGTGTGCACTTGGGGATTGCAAAGGATCACAAGGGATGGCTGCTATGGGACTTGACCATCCAGAAGCTGACAGTGTCAAGGGATGTGAAGTTTCTTGAGTCCCTGTACTACAAGGAATGGAAGCAGCAGCAACAGAAGCTTCCATCTACACCACTCATTGTGGAGGCAGATGAGTTGCAGCAGCCTTCAAGGCAGGTGGAGGTTGCAGTGTCTGAGGAGGAGATGTCTGGGGTGACTGAAGAAGGGGGAGCAGCTGAAGTGGAGCAGCAGCAGCAGCAACATGAGTCTCCACCTCGAGTTCCACACCCGCCTGAGCGACCTAGGAGGGATGTGCGCCCTCCTGTGAGGCTGACCTATGGGGGAAGAGGCAAGCCAAATGTGGTGCAGGCTGGGAGTGTGGTTGAGCAGATTGAGGAAGATGAGATCGCTCACTGCTACTGGGCACCAATCCCTGAGCCCAAGACTCGAGAGGAGGCCTTGAATGGACCAAATGGGGAGAAGTGGAAGGCGAGTGAGGATGAGGAGTTCGGGTCCCTGATTGAAAACGAGACATGGGACCTGTGTGACTTGCCTCCTGGGAAGAAGGCAATCACTTCCAAGATGATCTACAGGCACAAGTATGGACCTGAAGGGGAGCTGACCCGCTACAAGTCTAGGTTTGTGGCACGGGGGTTTCAGCAGACAAAGGGGAAGGACTATGATGAGGTGTTTGCTCCTGTGGGGAAAGGAACAACACTGAGGGTGCTGTTGGCGATAGCTGCACTCCTGGGATGGAAGATACGGCAGATGGACATTGTTACTGCCTTTCTGAATGGGATCATTCTGGAGGAGGTGTACATGAAGCAGCCAGAGGGGCTGGATGATGGGAGCGGCAGGGTCTGCAGGCTGAAGAAGGCCATCTATGGCCTTAGGCAGACGCCTCGTGCATGGTATCACAAGTTGGAGGAGGCGCTGTTGGCTGGGGGTTTCAAGAAGAGTGGGTGTGACCCCAGCCTGTTCCTGCTTCAGGAGAAGGATGAAATCCTCATGCTCTTGGTGTACGTGGATGATATCCTTCTCTTTTCTGCATCAACTGCTTTGCTGGACAGCGCAGAGCAGATGCTGGAGATGCAGTTCAAGTGTTCCAAGATGGGTGAGGTGAAGTACTACTTGGGGATGCATGTGGAGAGAGATGTGGAGAAGGGTGTGCTGAGGTTGCACCAGAGGAAGTACTGTGAGGGGCTGGCTGAGAAGTATGGGCTGCAAGATGGGGGAAAGCCAGCAACACCACTACCTTCGGGGTTTACTGTGGAGCCATGTGCTGATGAGGAGGTAGTGCGTGAGAGTGACAGGAAGCTGTTTCATTCGATGGTTGGGTCGCTGAATTATGCTGCAAATCATACACGGCCTGACATTGCATTTGCTACATCACGATTGGCTAGTGTGGTCTCACGCCCTAGTCATGAGCAGCTGGAAGCGGCCAAGAGGTTGGTCCGCTATGTGAGCGCTACGGCATCAGTGGGATTGGAGTACAGTGGAGTGAGGCAGCGGTTGGAGAGAGGTGCTGCAGATGTGAAGAGTGGAGAGATGCTCTTGAGTTGCTATACTGACGCTAGCTTCAACTCAGTGAAAGCGGATGGCACCAGCATTGGGGGTTATGTGTGCTTGCTAGGAGGTGGTGCTGTGAGCTGGCGCAGCAAGAAGCAGAATGAGGTGGGATTGTCCTGATGTGAGACTGAGTACATGGCCTTACACCATGGGGCCAAGGAAGTGGTGTGGCTGAGGCGCTTGTTGGAGGAGTTGGGAGTTGGTCAGGAGGAGCCGACAGTTGTGTTCTGTGACAATGAGTCTGCTGTGAAGCTCGCCAAGAATGCTTGTCTGCATGGGCTGACAAAACACATAAGGCCTAAGTGGCACTGGGTGAGGAGACTCCTTGATAAGGAGGTGCGGCTGGAGATAGTGAAGACCCATCAGCAGGCAGCAGATATTTTCACCAAGCGTCTGGCGGAGGCGGATCATTGGAAGGGCATGAAGCTTGCTGGGATGAGTGTGCATTGAGTATGCATGCTTGAGATGTTGGTATGGTGGTTGATGGTTGGCAGCCAGAGGGGGAGATTGTTGTGTGATGTCATCATATGCTATCACATTCTGTCTGCCTCCCATCCCATATTTTTCAACTTGCATGTGTGGTTTGAACGTGTGCAAGAATTTGTGTGTGATGTGTTCTGGAGTTTGGGAATGTGTTTTGTGTTATTTTGTTTGAGCAGGTTTTTTGTGATGATAGATCTTGAGAAGATCTTTCCGACGCAACGAGAATCCCTTCAATCGGAGCAAGAACGCGAAAGCTATGAAGATTCAAAGTTCATGAGCTTGCGTTACAATTGCGGCGGTTACAAAGTGAAGTTGTGGGGTGACTCTATATGGAGTTGGGACCTTTGGGGGTTGGGGAAATTTGTCACTCACTGTAACAGCTGCAAATTGGTTGGGAACAACCAAGCTAGGTTGGCAAGGGTGGCCAACTTGGATGGATTGGTTGGGAAGGGACAAATGTCAAAGTTGGGGTTCCTATAGGGAGGGAATCTTTGTGCTTATGGGGTTTCCTTGGTTGGGGACTCTCTTGGGACCTTCCATCTCATCCCTCTCTTCTATCCCAACCTTTCTCTTGCTCCTCTAATTCCTTGTGAGATTCTTGAACTTTGATTGAACCTTTGAGATTGAGTTAAGTTCTCCTCCTACAGCTTACCCCCTAATGCGTCGAAAGCCATAGCGTCGCGAATACTTCATCAATCAACGTGATTCAAATTGGGAACGGTAGATGAAGAGCTACAACATATCCAAGTTTCGCGACATTCCAACGGCTAGTTTTTCGTCGACGTTGTTTCTTGTGAAGACGACTTTTCTGTCCAGAATTTCGGATTTATATTTTGAGTAATTCTAGTTCCTAAGTTCACCTAGACTCCGTCCTGAATTCTAACAGTGCTCACACATTCGCCTCGCCAAGGATAGAATATCTTACTAAGCACTTTCAATCTCAAACTCCCATCAGCGCCATTGCACTCCTTCGCAAGCGCACCACCACTCGCTTGATCGACTTTCCCACCATGGTTGACTACACTTCTCATGTAGCAGTTGTCCGCCTTGCTCTCCACCCAATAGTTCGAGCTCTTCAATCATGTCTATGGCGCGCTTCTTCTCACCGGGCTCACTCCTATGTATAGTGTCCATGTCACCCTCTACGGTGGGCACCCCCTTGGGCAGTGGTCCTTCTCCCAAGTCACCGCCTTCCTTCTCAAGGCAGAACTTAACCTTCGCAGCTGCTCGCCTACCGCCACAGCTACCTCTGCTACTCTTCCCTCTGCAGCTCATGTGTTGTCACTGCTTACTCTGGCCATCACAACACCTTCCCTCCCTGCCCCTATGTCATTCACTATGGTTCCCACACGAGCGATGTAGTCGCATGAATCATCCCACTACCACATTCTTCCAGAAGCTCACTGGCCGTTGGTAGCTTGCTGGCAACACAGGCCGCCTGCCAGACTTGGCTCAGTTCGCCCGCTTGCGAATGCCTCCAGTCCTCCGCTTAGGCGATCCTTGCCGCGGCAGCCCCGGGTGCTGATCCTCTAACCTCTGCTCTTAATGTAACAAAGACTAGTCAGGATAACATTATGGGAGACTCTACACTCATGAACCTTCGCCGTATTGTTTGCTCTTTCTGTTAATGGCAAAGATTCTCAGTATCTCGCCTCTATGGCTGCCGCCGCTCTCGCCCTCCCTTTCTCCCATAGCTTTGTTCTTGAAAGCACTGCCACTGGATACACGTGGAGAGGATCTACCCCATAAGTTTTCCCTTTATATTATGGACTAAGTTGCTTATCAGAAACCACCCAGTGGAAATGAAGCGGCAATCAGTGTCAAGATGAAATACCTAAGTGACTGGAAAGAAACAGAATAAGGGTTCAAGTATTGGGGTTGTCCCCACTACAGTCTGCACCTAGCTAGTCTATAGCGCATATATATATACATATATATACAGTGGCAGAAACAATTGTTCGTATGTTTTGCATAAATTTGGGTTTTTTTGCTTTAAGACCACTATACGTTAAGCCTTAATATTTAATGGTGGTACGATTTGGGTGGGGCACATAGTGGATATGTTCATAGCACAAATATCCAGAATAGTACATTGGATCTAACTCATATCCCAAAAGATATACAAAGGGTGCATCTGGACAAATAGTTCCAAGCAAGGAGAGCAAACTTCAAAAGTGTGTTTCTAATTCATAGCCCACCGACCTTAGGCCTTGATCACTGCCCGCACCCTCCTAAGCGAGCTGTCGATGAGGCTAGAGCAAACCTTGGCATGGATCTTCTCCCATTCTTCCTGGACCAGCTCTTAAAGCTCTAGCATTCCAGAGGAAGGCCTTTTCTGCTTGGCTAGCTCCCTTTTCAGGTAAGCACAGAGGTTGAGGTTTGATGACAAAGAAGGCCACTCCAGGGCTACATACTCATGCTCTCCAAGTCATTCATGCACTAGGCATAACAAATTCTTGGGGTCATTGTCCGCACCGAGATGATCTTGTTGTGTGATGTCATCATATGCTATCACATTCTGTCTGCCTCCCATCCCATATTTTTTCAACTTGCATGTGTGGTTTGAACGTGTGCAAGAATTTGTGTGTGATGTGTTCTGGAGTTTGGGAATGTGTTTTGTGTTATTTTGTTTGAGCAGGTTTTTTGTGATGATAGATCTTGAGAAGATCTTTCCGACGCAACGAGAATCCCTTCAATCGGAGCAAGAACGCGAAAGCTATGAAGATTCAAAGTTCATGAGCTTGCGTTACAATTGCGGCGGTTACAAAGTGAAGTTGTGGGGTGACTTTATATGGAGTTGGGACCTTTGGGGTTGGGGAAATTCGTCACTCTACTGTAACAGCTGCAAATTGGTTGGGAACAACCAAGCTAGGTTGGCAAGGGTGGCCAACTTGGATGGATTGGTTGGGAAGGGACAAATGTCAAAGTTGGGGTTCCTATAGGGAGGGAATCTTTGTGCTTATGGGGTTTCCTTGGTTGGGGACTCTCTTGGGACCTTCCCTCTCATCCCTCTCTTCTATCCCAACCTTTCTCTTGCTCCTCTAATTCCTTGTGAGATTCTTGAACTTTGATTGAACTCTTGAGATTGAGTTAAGTTCTCCTCCTACAGCTTACCCCCTAATGCGTCGAAAGCCATAGCGTCGCGAATACTTCATCAATCAACATGATTCAAATTGGGAACGGTAGCTGAGATAAAGAGCTACAACATATCCAAGTTTCGCGACATTCCAACGGCTAGGTTTTCGTCGACGTCGTTTCTTGTGAAGACGACTTTTCTGTCCAGAATTTCGGATTTATATTTTGAGTAATTCTAGCTCCTAAGTTCACCTAGACTCCGTCCTTAATCCTAACAAGTGGTATCAGAGCGATATTAAGGACATTGAGAGGAGTCTACAGAAGTGTGAAGACCCTTCTAGACCCACCATGGCCTGTGGGTGTGCCTAAGTGGTGTTCTAAAGGTTGGATGTGTCTTCCGCTAAGGGGAAACTCTGCCGAAATTTCGTGGACGCCGACACTTGTGAAAATATCGAGGGAGCTGAGTGTGGACAGCAAAGGGGGGCTGAAATTCGTCATTTCTCAAGGAGAAGATGAATGAGAGAGGAGGAGATGCTAATGGAAGAGGAGCTGTAGCTGAGAAGACAAGTGAGCCGCCGCCATCAAAAGTTGAAGCTTTGGATGGCTCCAACTATGAGGAATGGAGCGGACGGATGAGGAGTGCCTTCAAACGCTACAAGCTACTGAAGATTGCTGTTGGGGAAGAGAAGATGCCGGAAGAAGGCGAAGCACGCGAACGGTGGATTGAGAAAAGCGCGGTGCTTTTCGACCTCATCCTTCAATCGGTCAACAAGGAGATGTTCGAGCACATCAAGGATCTTGTGGAAGCGGATGATTCGGGTCCAAGGGCGTGGAAACTACTACGCGATGTGATTCAGCCCAACACTCTCCCGATGGTGATCGTGCTCGAGAAGGAACTTGCTGCCATCTCCATGCGACCAGGGGACGATGTGAAGCCGGTCCTTGACAAGATCAAGGACACCTATGCAAGGATGGCAGCAGCGGGCAGCAGTGTATCTCAGCTGCAGCAGTGCACCAAGATCATCTCGGTGTTGGACAACTCGTGGGATAACCTCATCCCCACCCTCAACTCTCAGCAAGATCAATGGACACCTGAGTGGCTAAGGCAGCAGATTCTGCAGGAGGACTTCCGCAGACGCCATGTGGGAGGCGGTGCTGCCACTAAGACTGCTGAGGGGTATGGAGCTGCAGGGCGCGGCAGAGGAAGAGGGGGTTGGAAAGGCCGAGGCCGTGGGAGAAGCTTTGGCAGAGGTAGAGGCCGAGGTGACTATAATGAGGGGCATGGGAGCTCCAGTGGCAGGGGGAGTACCAGAATGGAGGGCACCTGCTGGTACTGCAAGAAGGTCGGGCATCCTTGGTTCAAGTGCTTCAGCAGGCTGGAGGGATGGTCACCTCCAGGCATGAAGCCGCCAAGTGGTGAACGCGCACAAGGTGGCGCTGTGCAAGGCTCAGGTGCACAAGGTGAAGGTGCACAAGGTAACGCCTATCCTGGGATGTATCTCATGGTTGAGGATGTGCATGGGCATGAGGGTGATGTGGGATCTGTGGGAAAGGTTGTGATGCACCCTCTCACGCACTGGGTGATTGATTCAGGTTGCACCAGTCACATGACCCCACGGGCAGATTTGCTTGATGAGGTAAAACCCCCTGGGAAGATCAAGTATGTGGCAGCAGCGTCAGGTGCTTTGCTCCCTGTCATTGGTGTTGGAAATGCCAAGGTTAAGGGAGCTAATGGGGAGCTTGTGGGGCTTGGGAATGTTCTGCTGGTTGAAGGCTTGTCTGCTAACCTTCTCTCTGTGCGACGACTGCAGAAGAGCAAGGCCGAAGTGACCTTTGGACCAACCAGCTGCCGTGCTAAGCTTGGGAAGAAGGTGCTGTGGAGTCTGGAAGAGGAGACCAGCTGCATCAAGGACCTGTGGCAGCTGCCCATCATCCCATGGAATGGGAAGACTCCAACAGCAGCAACGGCAGCAGCGGCAAAGGCAACAGCAGGAGGAGATGCAACTGCACCAACTGATGGGGTCCTGGAAGCAGTCAAGAAAGTGCAGCAGCAGCAGACACATGGTGAGGTGCTTGCTGGTGTGGATGCGAGTGCGGCATGGGCTAAGGCTTCATCAAGGAGTGGAGAGGCCGATTGGGAGACATGGCATGAGAGGCTGTGTCATGTGAACTTCCCTATGCTGCAGAAGTTGGTGAAGGATGGGAGCCTGAAGGGCTTGGAGGTGAAAGGGGGAGTGAAGGAGATTGGGAGCTGCCCTACATGCTTGGAGACCAAGTTCTCCAAGTTCCCCTTCAACAGCACTACAGGACCAGCCAAGACCCCACTTGCACTTGTGCACATGGATGTGGTGGGGCCCACAAGAGCCCCTTCCCTCTCAGGCAGCCGCTATTTCTTGACAATTGTGGATGACCACACTCGAGCAGTGTGGGTTTACCCTTTGAACAGCAAGGGGGAGGTGGCAGCGGCTGTCCTTAAGGAGTGGATGCCGAGAGCTCAGAGGGAATGCGGACACAAGGTGAAGGTGATCCGTAGTGACAATGGTGGGGAGTTCATTGGAGCTGATTTTGAGGGGGAGTTGAAGAGGAAGGGGATCCAGCATCAACTGACAGTGCCCTACAACCCGCAGCAGAATGGCGTGGCTGAGAGGTTCAACAGGACCCTGCAGGAGGGGGCACGCACTCTCCTTGGGCGTGCAGGGCTGCCTGATCCGTTTTGGGTGTCTGCACTGAGGCAGGTCGCCCTTGTGAAGAACAGGGTGCTGGCTACAGTTGGAGATAAGGAGTGGATCCCATATGTCAAGTGGTATGGGAGTGCTCCAACTGTGAACATGCTGAGGGCATTTGGGTGCATGGTGGTGTTTCATGTGCCTAAGGAGAAAAGGGGGAAGTTGGATGGCACCAGCATTGGGGGTTATGTGTGCTTGCTAGGAGGTGGTGCTGTGAGCTGGCGCAGCAAGAAGCAGAATGAGGTGGGATTGTCCTCATGTGAGACTGAGTACATGGCCTTACACCATGGGGCCAAGGAAGTAGTGTGGCTAAGGCGTTTGTTGGAGGAGTTGGGAGTTGGTCAGGAGGAGCCGACAGTTGTGTTCTGTGACAATGAGTCTGCTGTGAAGCTCGCCAAGAATGCTTGTCTGCATGGGCTGACAAAACACATAAGGCCTAAGTGGCATTGGGTGAGGAGACTCCTTGATAAGGAGGTGCGGCTGGAGATAGTGAAGACCCATCAGCAGGCAGCAGATATTTTCACCAAGCGTCTGGCGGAGGCGGATCATTGGAAGGGCATGAAGCTTGCTGGGATGAGTGTGCATTGAGTATGCATGCTTGAGATGTTGGTATGGTGGATGATGGTTGGCAGCCAGAGGGGGAGATTGTTGTGTGATGTCATCATATGCTATCACATTCTGTCTGCCTCCCATCCCATATTTTTTCAACTTGCATGTGTGGTTTGAACGTGTGCAAGAATTTGTGTGTGATGTGTTCTGGAGTTTGGGAATGTGTTTTGTGTTATTTTGTTTGAGCAGGTTTTTTGTGATGATAGATCTTGAGAAGATCTTTCCGACGCAACGAGAATCCCTTCAATCGGAGCAAGAACGCGAAAGCTATGAAGATTCAAAGTTCATGAGCTTGCGTTACAATTGCGGCGGTTACAAAGTGAAGTTGTGGGGTGACTTTATATGGAGTTGGGACCTTTGGGGTTGGGGAAATTCGTCACTCTACTGTAACAGCTGCAAATTGGTTGGGAACAACCAAGCTAGGTTGGCAAGGGTGGCCAACTTGGATGGATTGGTTGGGAAGGGACAAATGTCAAAGTTGGGGTTCCTATAGGGAGGGAATCTTTGTGCTTATGGGGTTTCCTTGGTTGGGGACTCTCTTGGGACCTTCCCTCTCATCCCTCTCTTCTATCCCAACCTTTCTCTTGCTCCTCTAATTCCTTGTGAGATTCTTGAACTTTGATTGAACTCTTGAGATTGAGTTAAGTTCTCCTCCTACAGCTTACCCCCTAATGCGTCGAAAGCCATAGCGTCGCGAATACTTCATCAATCAACATGATTCAAATTGGGAACGGTAGCTGAGATAAAGAGCTACAACATATCCAAGTTTCGCGACATTCCAACGGCTAGGTTTTCGTCGACGTCGTTTCTTGTGAAGACGACTTTTCTGTCCAGAATTTCGGATTTATATTTTGAGTAATTCTAGCTCCTAAGTTCACCTAGACTCCGTCCTTAATCCTAACAGATCTCAGAGGGGAAAATGCTATAGAAATGGAGGGTCAACTCGAGTTCGTCACGCAAAATGCCCTCATACAGGGGCCTCTCCATGCGTCCGTCAATCTTGCATATGAACTCCACCCCCGCACATGTCACACATCCCCACACCATCACTGATCCTTGTCCCCATGGTTTACTGTCTATTTGATTTGGTGGTGTTGTAGGGTTGTGCCTTCACGAATCCAGGCAAACGCGCGGTCATTGGAGCTGAAGCAGTTGATGTTGGTCCCATTTGACCATATCACATGCTTTCGAACACTAATTGTCCACTCAGCATTCGACTCCACGAATTGCAGCCGGCCCCTGATTATTTTCCAGAACAGTCATGGCTTCTATGACTGGTGCACCATGACTTGACCCACAGACCCTAGTGTATTATTAATGGTGCAAGGGTGCACAATCAACCGTGCAACATTACCCTCGGTTTCGTGGTGTCTACGCTAGATTTGGCCGCTCTATTCATGATTTTACCCTACAATGGTACGATGAAGATGATCCGTGATAAGATGGGCCCGACCGGCTAATTGCATCTTTGGCCACACCTCAACATGGCTAGTCTCAAAGATACCATTCAATCCAAATTCGTCCACAATACTCTAGCCTACGCCCAACTTTTTCACGATTTTCCTAGTGCTCACCCCCTTATGCTAAATGGTGGGTCCAGAAAGAGTGCAAGAAGTTCCCTGTCGAGGTTTGTACTAACCTCGTAGGTAACATGCCTAGGAGGGTGTGGGTGGTGATCAAGGACAAAGGTCGGTGGGCTATGTACCAAATACGCAATTCTGAAGTTTGCTCTCTTTGGTTGGAAATATTTGTCCGGATGTACCCTTCGTATATTTTTCGGGATATGAGTTAGATCCAATGTACTTTTCTGGATATTTGTGCTATGAACACATCCACTATGTGGCCCTCCCAAATCGTACCACCATTAATCATTAAGACTTAATATATAGTGGTCTTAAATCCAAAAAACCCAAATTTATGCAAAACATACGGACAATTGTTTTTGCCACTGTATAATATGTACGCTAACACACCCCCTAGACTGGGTAGGGGCAGAGTCTAGCAAGTCACAGCAATCCAGGGCAGCACTACTAGTCTAGCCTCTGGTGTAGATGACAAACAACTCAGAGCAGCATTACTAGTCTGGCCACTGAGACAAGGGCCAGGAGGCCAGTCAGCAAGAGTATCAAGACAACCAGTATAGTTCAGCATATACAGATCATGATACAAGCAAGTGTGAGGCAACTGGGACTAGGCCTAGCAATGTACATAACCGCTGATGATTACGAGGCCCAAGGGCCTTGGTGAAGATATCAGCAGTATTGGCCTCTGAGCCCAGCTGTACTACGCGGGCCTGGCTGCGTTGCTGCAAGTCACGCAGCAAGAAGTACCGCAGTTGATGTGCTTGGCCTTGCCCTCAAGTCAAGCCTTTTGACACGGAAGGATCATGGCAAACAGGACCGGGGTAGACCTGGGCCGCTCACCTAAGTTAGTGAGTAGGAACGTCAGCCAGCAGAGCTCCTGAGCGGCCATAGAACCAGCGTAGATCTCTGCCTCACAGATGGAATGTGCTACAGACGACAACCGAGTGGACCGCCACGAGACAGCACCTGCACCAAGGCTGAAGCAGTAGCCCTGTATCGACCATAGCGTCTCCAGGTCGTCAGCCCACAATGCATCTGTATGTCCAGTGAGGACCACTGATGCCCGTCCTCGCAGCACAAGCCCTAGGCCTGGGGTACCCACCAGATACCGAAATGCCCTCTTAGCAGCCAACCAATGCTCTGGTCGGTGTCCGCCAGTCGCGACGAAGCGAGCGAGAATGCTGAGAGGGTATGCAAGATCTGGGCGAGTGCACATCATCAGGTACATGAGGCATCCCACTAGCTCTGCATAGGGACCACTGGGCCCGACCGGCTCACCAGAGACAGGAGCTGAGAGCTTGTGGTCCAGAGGCAAGAGAGTGGGCTGTGCCAACGAGAACTGAAGACCAAACCTCTGGAGGATGTGCTGCAGCATGTGGTACTGGGAGAGGGTGACTGTGGACGCTGCACGGTCACAAGAGATCTCTAAGCCCAGATAGCACCGCCGCTCTCCCCGTCAGTGCAAGCATCTCTCCTAAGTAGCTCGACCTTTACTGAGGCCAGTGCAATCCTATCTGGTGTAGAAAAGATCAGGTTGTCTATGTACACAAGGATGTAGAAGGGAGGCTGGCCAACACGAATGAAGAATGACGGGTCAGCACCTCCTGCTCTTGCGCTCCCCGCGGCTGTCTCAGCAATACTGTGGTCCGCTGTGCGCCGTTGGCCATGCTGTGCATCTGCAGCGTCCGCATCATTAAGGCGAACGACGCCTCGCTTTCCTCCGCGTATTTCTCCTCAAGGTACGCCAGATGCCCTCAGCTGGGCTATCCACCTGCCGTTAGCTCCGCGATCTGCTTCTAAATCCACGCCATCTGCTCGTTCAGGCCTTCCAGCGTCCTTCCCTTGGGCTTCTCCCCTTGCCTCGCGTAGAAGTCACTAACCGCGTGCCCCTTCTTTCCGCAGTGGCTGCACTCGGGAATGGTAGGGCACTCTCTCCTGAGATGCCCTTCGTCTCTGCATCGATCGTATTCGGTGCCTTCTTGCAATCCCGCTGCACGTGTCCGGCCTCTCCGCATCTGTGGCATCGGTGTCGGTCTTGGCACCCTCCTCTCTCTTGGACCAGCGATCTGTCTCTTTCTGAGCAACACTCCTCGGCACGTGGCTGCTCTGGGGGCGGCGAATCAATCCAGGCTGCCCTTCTACATTCCGCCACTTGCTGCTCTTTCTTGCGATTGCCTTGCCCATACATCGTTGCCAACTCATAGGCTGGCCGCAGCGTTGCTCGACTTCCCATCTCGAAGAACTTTCCCTTCACCTCCTTCACCAGCGACTCCTCTAGCCCACCTAGGAATTTGCTGATAAGCCGGATCTAGTCCAAATCTTTAGCCAGCTCTCTTACTCGGCTATAGCAGGTCAGCAGTGACTCTCCCTTCCGCCGTGAAAAGGTCGCTAGCTCTTGCATGCGCTCTGGCGTCTGGACTGGAAACTGCTCCCGCAACTGCTCCATGAACAAATCCACCATCTCCCATTCTCTCCCTGGCCGATCTGCCCATTGATGCAGTAGTCGTACTTCACGGTGCGATACAATCGCTCTACCTCTCCGCTTAGGGTGCTGGACAGCCCACGAAAGAAGTCCTCCCCATCATAACCCTCCTTGCGCTACCGATAACGCACATTGTCAAGCTGTATCAAGTAGTTTCGCAGCTCCGCTTTTTCCCCAGGGATGCCTGAGAAGCGGTCCGGCACTTTGATTTATGGCAAGCTGCCTCCTCAACCTCAGGCTTCACCCATCACTTCGGATGCTCATTCTTGGTCGACGCGCGTGGCTCTGAAGACTTCTCCGTTCATCCGACTCTGCTCTCTGCTCGGGCCTTAGCCCGCTCGCGTTTGTGCGCCAGGATCTGTTCCTATTGATCTCTCCATCAGATCTAGTCTTAGGATAATGATTGCCTGACCGCAGCTCCATCTCATCTCTACCTCGCATAACTCGGTGCTTAGGATTCTTTTCGCTTGTTTGTTGAAAAGGACCCGTCTCGGCGTCCAAGCTACTCGACCTGCACCATGGACTCCTGATCAACAGTCTCTTTCTCTCGAATAGTCCACTTGGGTTAAGTGTTACTTCATTCAAATTTGCAAGAAACAAACAAGCGAACAGGATTCTAAGCACCAGCAGCTACCCTATATACACATGCTGTCCTGCTAGGCAAAGGATCCTATGAATCCGGACGGATCCCTGTCTACTTGGCCGCTTCTATCATTCCACGCTATGGTACACATTCACAAGTATGCATATGCCATTCCTGTACAAGCTCCTCCAACGGCCTCTCCACCTGGTCCCTTGGTCATGCCAATTACCCTCCCCTCGCCCAATCAAGAAAGCACTTGCCTCGTCGCCCTGGGGCCAACCAGCTGTCCCTCCCTGCTTGTTGCTCTTGATGGCTTGGTCCGAACCAGTCCCTGCCGAACCTGCATATTCGCGAACACTCACTTCCATTCTGGCCAGCTACACCGCTACTCTCCTGGGCACTCGCTTATAGCTCTGTTGCGGAAATGGGAAACAACCCATTTCTGTGATAGAGGTGCTAGACCGCGTACCGCATCACGAATGGCCACAGAAAATGGGGGCCACCAGCATGGACCATGGAGGTGCGAGCCACCTCCATGATCAGGTTGATGCATCGCTCCGCAAACCCATTTTGCTGCAGCAGGTCTGGTGGGGTAAACGTCTAGGTGTTGCCTTCCGCATGGCA